ACAAAATGGTAGAATTAACTTAGTTACAAAAACGTGTAGATATTAACTAACATTGACCCTATGTTACAATCTGAAAATCAATGAGACTTTATATTCATATATTTGATTCAATTCTAGAAAAGATTAAAACTGATATCTAATTATTTTATAGTTGGGTTAACACAAACATGGCTAAAAACTACATAAACCCAACTAACCACTACCAAGAAAGACAATACGACATGACCACTGTGCATCCAATTTTTTTTTTCCTCATTAGTATGTGCATTCTAGGGGAATAATAAGATCTCCACTCTGGCCGGTATTTAAAGTGTACAAAGGAACATCTGTTGGTAAGAATCAGAAGACGCAACAAAACAACTTACAATCATACTATACTTATAATTCACTCTGATTTAGTTAATCGTCACTGATACCTTCTTTATTTTGTGGCCTTCATTTTATTTTTTTGGGGAGACTGATATTAGGTCATGGAACAGACCACAGATTTCGATAAGCATTGACTGTTTTTTGAGTTTCTTGATTTCAAACACAAAAACAAGGTGTGCAGTGCATTTGCATAAAATGTAGTCGATGTTTTTTAATGCTCAGTATTTCTTTCGATTCTGGTTGACCGGGATTCTCTAGCTATGTGTGTATCTGCCTTTCTCCTCTCTTTTGTGTGTCATTTCACTTGTTTGACTAATTAGGGCTTAATTATCGATTTTTATTTTTCTTTGTTTTTAATTGTATCATATGCACAGATTCAAGCCTCTAGTGGACAAGTTGATTGAGAGTCACATGGCAGTGAAGCCAGATGGGAGTCTTGATGGTCCGGTTAGGAAATTATAAATTATGGCACCATTTTGTGGAAAGACTACAAGTCGATTCATGTTTGTTAATTGTTACTTCTTGAGTTTTCATTTTCATCGGTGGTGTGGAACTCTTGGGGGTAACTTCATATAAATTCTACAAATATGCTATTGGTGACTCAGAGGGTGCAACGAAAAAAAGGTGGCAGCTCGTGTATATTTTTACCAATCCAATCTTTGATTGGTGCACCTCGTTAACAAATTTCTCTCAAAATGGGTTAATGCAATTTCAATGGGAATTTCTCCGGAAGTATGCCAATAAAGTACCATTTTCAAGGTGGCAAAGGCCTCCTACATTTGGTGCGTTGCCAATGCCAAAACAAACGATAATGTCCACTTTATCAGTTATTTATGAGTAATACACTTTGTTCTTGTGTATGTATTCACGTGATCTTTCTAACATCTTTCATGTTCTTNTTTCTAACCTTGCTCGAACAAAGAATAACACATTGGGTAGGTGAAATAATAAAAGTATATCCTTTGATTCAACTTTGTTAGTCAGAATTGTTCTTTGATTGGTTAAGGGCCAATGATCATCATAAAAATTTTACAATTTCCCACAAGGTGACATGGTATTTATGTGGTATATATGTGTGTGTAGTGATCAGAAATAGCATGCCCATTCATGTACAGTTCACTCTTTTTTTATAACTTGCTCTACATGCTTCCTTTGTTGAATATATTTTTCTTAAACATGCAATGAAATTTTGTTGTTTGTTCATATGTTGTGAGGTGGATTGTGATTATTTATGCATTGGTGAAAAATTGGGGTTAATTTGGGCTAGATTGTCTCTAAAATTATGTTGGTGTTAGATTATTACAAGATTGCTTTGTAGGTTAATTTCTGATGTGTTTGAACCACTAATACAATGGCCTGCAAATATAAGTTGCTTCCTTTAGCTACAGTGCTCTTCGTTTCCTCATTGTTTGCCTGTTCCAAAATTTATATTTCTCTAGAAAATGCAACAAAATGGTAGAATTAACTTAGTTACAAAAACGTGTAGATATTAACTAACATTGACCCTATGTTACAATCTGAAAATCAATGAGACGTTATATTCATATATTTGATTCAATTCTAGAAAAGATTAAAACTGATATCTAATTATTTTATAGTTGGGTTAACACAAACATGGCTAAAAACTACATAAACCCAACTAACCACTACCAAGAAAGACAATACGACATGACCACTGTGCATCCAATTTTTTTTTTCCTCATTAGTATGTGCATTCTAGGGGAATAATAAGATCTCCACTCTGGCCGGTATTTAAAGTGTACAAAGGAACATCTGTTGGTAAGAATCAGAAGACGCAACAAAACAACTTACAATCATACTATACTTATAATTCACTCTGATTTAGTTAATCGTCACTGATACCTTCTTTATTTTGTGGCCTTCATTTTATTTTTTTGGGGAGACTGATATTAGGTCATGGAACAGACCACAGATTTCGATAAGCATTGACTGTTTTTTGAGTTTCTTGATTTCAAACACAAAAACAAGGTGTGCAGTGCATTTGCATAAAATGTAGTCGATGTTTTTTAATGCTCAGTATTTCTTTCGATTCTGGTTGACCGGGATTCTCTAGCTATGTGTGTATCTGCCTTTCTCCTCTCTTTTGTGTGTCATTTCACTTGTTTGACTAATTAGGGCTTAATTATCGATTTTTATTTTTCTTTGTTTTTAATTGTATCATATGCACAGATTCAAGCCTCTAGTGGACAAGTTGATTGAGAGTCACATGGCAGTGAAGCCAGATGGGAGTCTTGATGGTCCGGTTAGGAAATTATAAATTATGGCACCATTTTGTGGAAAGACTACAAGTCGATTCATGTTTGTTAATTGTTACTTCTTGAGTTTTCATTTTCATCGGTGGTGTGGAACTCTTGGGGGTAACTTCATATAAATTCTACAAATATGCTATTGGTGACTCAGAGGGTGCAACGAAAAAAAGGAGGCAGCTCGTGTATATTTTTACCAATCCAATCTTTGATTGGTGCACCTCGTTAACAAATTTCTCTCAAAATGGGTTAATGCAATTTCAATGGGAATTTCTCCGGAAGTATGCCAATAAAGTACCATTTTCAAGGTGGCAAAGGCCTCCTACATTTGGTGCGTTGCCAATGCCAAAACAAACGATAATGTCCACTTTATCAGTTATTTATGAGTAATACACTTTGTTCTTGTGTATGTATTCACGTGATCTTTCTAACATATTTCATGTTCTTAGTTCTAGCATTTATTAATCTTTGGTGATTAGTAGAAATCAATTTTCTTTGCTTATTAAAATAGGCCAACTGTTTTATCTTAGAGGGTTTGAAGCTCATCCGGTAGGCGCCTATGGAGAGCATGCTAGAAGTGTTGTTAATAAGTATTTTTTTAATTTATCATGTACCAAATTAGGTTCATCCCTGTAAGTAATTGGATGTATTAAGTTACGGGTGGGAATTAATTGTTACTTTATAATAGTCTACATTTTTCTCCCCCCCCCCCTTCTTTTGGTTATTGGTTGCGAGAGTTCCAACTTGATGTGCTCATACTATGTTTATGAATTTACAATTCCTCAAAGAGTATTGTTTGGTTATTGTACATGTTATCAATAGCCAAGTGGTAGACCTTTTGAATTATTGAAAACAAGGCGAGATAAAATTAATTAAGGGTTACTGTGAGAAAGTTAATGTTTGATGTTGTGGTATGTTAATGTGCAATTTTAATTCTTATTTTTTGGCCTAATATCATTGATTTGCATAATTGAGTTTAAATTCTTTTCATAAAGGTTAGAATTTTATGGAGTCAAGCTTCTCTTTCAATATATAATTGTAACACTATATAGGTGCTACATGAAAGCTCTTCAAATGACCAGAATCTTGCAAGTAGAAAGGCTCAAGCAACCCCTTTGTGTTACTAAGGACAACGACATTCCAAGAAGAGTAGGTGAAATTGTTTGCATTGGCAACAAAGCTCAAGGGGAAGTGTTGTTTTTTCCGATTGGGTATAGGGTTTATAATCAGTTCACTGATTTTAATTCTATTTTTCTGTATTGACTTTTTTACTGTCTCCTCTTTCAATATTCACTGTAGTACCAAACCATTGAGACTCATTTGCATTTGTTTGTTACAATAATTTCCATTAAGCAGGTTTTTATTTTTTCGTTCCTGATTATGGATGTAAGACTACGATCATATATTACTTTGAGTGATCTTTATTACTTTGCACTTTCATTTATTTTTTGCTTCTCTATACATCCCTCGTTATATTTTAAAGTTGTTCCAATATTGAAAAAACAACTAAAAAAAAAAAACAAAAATTGTAATACAAAATGGTTCACGTACAACGCACGTGTGCACCAACTAGTACCCCTCAAAATGATAGTTGACTTCCATGGATCTTGAAAATGGCATATCTTGACAACACACCGGATAAATGCCTGGCCTCCAACAAATTAAATCTTTCTGTTCTTCACAAATAGAGACNACCCCTCAAAATGATAGTTGACTTCCATGGATCTTGAAAATGGCATATCTTGACAACGCACCGGATAAATGCCTGGCCTCCAACAAATTAAATCTTTCTGTTCTTCACAAATAGAGATACCATTGCGCAACTAGAATGAAGAATCCACTGCTTCTAGCGCTCAATCCTAAACAACTCTAAACCAATGCACCGAAACAGCCCTCCAACCAACAATAAACATGTAATCGATCGATCTTCTCAGCCTGATACTTCTCTCCGGCCTGAAAATAATTATTTTCAAACAAGATTTGTTCCAAGCTAAAGAAGGGTGGGGTTTGTATGAGGACAATGATCATATGGCGAAACCAGTCCAGGCTCCATTAGGATCATATTAAGACGAACACTCGTATCACTGTTCATTCTCAATTATTAAGTATTTGATTGCCTAAACCTAAAAAGGAAGTAACACGACAAGCATTCTCTGGTAGATGAATCCCTACTAGGCTGTTAAAAAATTCACGTGTGAAATGTGTCACAAATGAAACTTTTTGAGCATAAGAGGATTTACAAAGACACTACTCATCCAGTCTGCAATGCAGGTCTTGATCCTATAAAGATTGATTTCAAGGACACTAAAAGATGTCACATATAAAACACATTGTAGAAAACTAACATGATGTAAAAAGACCAACCTAGCATTGTAAGACGATGAAGAGCTGTTATTGTAGTTGTTATATGCTTTTTTGCAAAATCTAGTTTCTTAATATCACGGCATATTTCCTGAACCATTGTTTCACTTTGCTCAGCTTTGGTTTTTATTTCTCGGACCTTATACATGAGTTCCTGCTCCAAATGAAAATAGAAATGAATTAGTTAATAGAACCCACAACGCTACGTACGATGCCAAAAACAACATTAAGAGGCCAAATTATGCAAGGAGTAGCGATTGTTCATGCTTATGAGACAAATAAAATTTCTGCATACAACAAATAATCAATTTTGTTTAAAGCACATACCTCAACGGCATGCGTGGCTGCAGCAAGATCCTCCTTGGCTTTGGTTCCTGAATTACTCTGGCATTGCAATTGAAAGCTATCATATAACTCATACCACCAAAATATATCATTAACAAACAAGTAAATGTACATGAGTATGTGACTGTTAAGGTAGAAGATATTTGTCTACATGCTCATCTATGACAAATATACAAAATAGACGAATTAGTATAAGACAATAAATCGGAATCATTCTACTAGTGAAAATAAAATAAACAAATGAATAAATGCTACATAGGATGATTCAATTTCTTCCCATGACTTCTCAGACATTTAGCATTCATTATATCTTAATGCCCACTCAAGAAAAGTGGACTATTACATCAACATGATTTCTTAGGCAAATGTTAATGCAACATCCACCACACACCACCACTATAATATGCCACCACTATCTTGCAGCATCCACCTACAAGACATGTATAATTTGCTCTTTTAAAGAATGTCTACAATCTTTTAGCCATAATGCTCCATTTTAAGACTGTGAAGCCGGGCAACTTTGATCACAATGAACAAGCTTAAGCTTAAGGTCGATCTCATCTCCACTACGAATCCAACAATTCTTATTCTATTCTATTATAAATTTCTCNTTGCAGCATCCACCTACAAGACATGTATAATTTGCTCTTTTAAAGAATGTCTACAATATTTTAGCCATAATGCTCCATTTTAAGACTGTGAAGCCGGGCAACTTTGGTCACAATGAACAAGCTTAAGCTTAAGGTCGATCTCATCTCCACTACAAATCCAACAATTCTTATTCTATTCTATTATAAATTTCTCGTCACAAGTTTCCATTCACGGCCTTCTCTATCTTTCCTCACCAATTCTTCCCTCGTTTCTTTCCTCTATGCAATCTCCACTTTCCAAGGAAAATTTCAAAACCAATATTTCTGGGAGAAATTGCACTTCCATAATGGTTGTACCAATAAAATTAGTGAATTGTTGCAAGATGCTCTTGGAACAAAATATGTCGCAAACAAATAAAATAAAAATTCCTGAAGTAATTACTTATGTATCATAAACTTGGCAAGCCATGAATTCAAATTTTCAAACATAAACTACTATTTGATAATATTAAATTGATAAGAAAACAACCTGTTGACGAACAGCAGCCAAAATACTAGCATCCACCCGGCGGATCTCATTATGTATTTTCTGCATCAATGGCTCAACACCAGATAAAGATGCTTCTGGACATATAAACCCATATTCCACAATGTCAATTTGTATTGATACCCCATCAAATAAGAAGGGAAGCAGGAACCAAAAAGAGTATATTATAAAACTCCAGAGTGCTTTTACATTCAAATGTATGCCTATATACACATATCTGCATATATACATATATATATAAATATGTCTATATGATTTGACCTGTGGGAAACATCTGGTTGATATAGTCCAGAGCATTCGACTTGTCCATTGCTGTGCATACCAGATCAATCAATGGTTAGCTATTTCATGGAATAGCACCTGCCACACACGTAATGCATAAGAACACAAAACATCAAGGCCGGCCCAAACATAAGGCCACTAAAGCAGGGGCTTCAGGCCATAATCAAAAAAGAGGTCTCACTATGACAAAGTCCACATCATAAATTTAAACCCATGAAAATTGAGTCCAATTATATATATGTACTAGTTATTGCCCATGCCTAAAGGCACTATACAACGAAGAAAACCAACAACTAAAAAAAATGAGCATTAGAAAGAGAAAAAAATGGTGCACATAATGATAACCATCTCATACATTTTTCTTTGAAAGGATATTGATATCCAGGGTTTTTATGATAAATTTCATATCACAATGTGATGTAAATATTCAATTATTAAAACAAAGTGCACAGAAAAAAAAATATCAAAATTGTGGTGAAGTAAACAGAATGCAATTAAGAAATAGAAATTTTTGCCATAAAATTTAGTTTCTATCGCTTTAATTTAAACCTCATATCATAAGTCTTGACACTCCTTACATACATTAAGCAGTACAAATGGCAAAAGTATTGTTCTTTAAAATATATATTATCTAGCAGATTATTCATATGCACAGTTTGAACATAGAGCAATTCAACGTGTTTAAACAAATGCTATGAACATAGCCCATGTAATTTCNTTGTTCTTTAAAATATATATTATCTAGCAGATTATTCATATGCACAGTTTGAACATAAAGCAATTCAACGTGTTTAAACAAATGCTATGAACATAGCCCATGTAATTTCTCTTTGCAGCAATAGAAGCGAAAATCAAGATGGAGACAAAATTGAAAAATCAAACATATTTGGACAGGATGGGGAACTCACGTTAGCTTGGTCATTGAAGAGATTATGTGTTGTGTCAATGAAGAATTTTTTTTTGGGTTTCTTTGTGCCAATAAGTGGAGTTTTATGGCTAATGCCTAATGGAGCAGCAACCCCCAATGTCAATAGACTTACCCCATAGAATCACCCCTAGTTTCATGGCAATAACAATGCAATAGAACGACGACGCCGACTCCAAAAACTACTTGAACACAAAACTATTGAAATCCATATTCAAAATGCTGCTCATTGAACTACCTTATTAAATCCGAAAAGAGAAATTAAAAAGAATAGATTTAAGACACTCATTGAGACATTTTATCCAACACCCATGGGGCCATGGGTTCTGACTGTCGAGAAGAAAGCAGGGGTAGAGGTTGGGCAGTGGCGATGGTAGTGGTTGCGACGGTGACTGTGGTTGGCGGTAATTAAGGAGGAGAAAGGGGCTGTGGGCTGTTGCTGTGGTGGTGGCAGTGGGGTGGGTTCAGCGGGGGTTGAAAGGGAGGATGTGGTGGCAGGAAATGATGGTGGATGGCATTGATGGTGGTTTGCTAGTGGTGAGAGAGAGGCAAGGAGAAAAGTAGAGAGACAGATAGAGTCTCCTGGGAGTGTGTGTGTGTTGTGAGAGAGAGAGAGAGAGAGAGGAGAAAGAAAGAGACCTGCGATTGGAAAATTTTTGACATCGCTGGGGGGTCGCCGGATCTGGTTTCTGTTCCCGTCGTCGTCGCCGGATCTGCTTGGTGTGCGACGTCGCCGGAGATAGATGGACGGACAGGACGGGGAGAGAGAGAGAGCGAGAGAGAGGGGGCACCGGGGACTGGGTGGGAATGAGTAAATAATGAATAGAACGGTTACATGTATGATCTAGCTATTTGTTAGATAAAATAAACAGTCAAACCACAAAATTGTCCAAGGCACTAGCTATTTGACTAGCTAGTTTACATTTTGGTTAAATGACTCTATATTTGGCTAATCTTCTTGGCTAACTATTTTATATTTAGAGANATTTGACTAGCTAGTTTACATTTTGGTTAAATGACTCTATATTTGGCTAATCTTCTTGGCTAACTATTTTATATTTAGAGAGTCAAATAACTCTTTTTGCACTATAAAGAGATAGTCATTTTGTATTATGACAATGTGTCAAGTTATGTAATATTTTAATTTAAAATATTAATAATAGTTAACTAAAATAAAGAGCATTGTTAGAGCAACTTTATAAAATTGGCTCTTTAAAATAAAGAATATAATATTTTAATATATTTTGAGTAACTATTTTGAAGAGTACCCTTAAAAATGCTCTAACATAATGGAAAGGTGAATTCTATTTGCACTTATATGCCAGAAAAATACAGAATTATTCGTTTATATGGTAGTTTAGTTATGAATTATTTATTTATATGACAAGTTAGTTATGACTTTTTGTAGAGTGCATTTACTTATTTAGNAGTTTAGTTATGAATTATTTATTTATATGACAAGTTAGTTATGACTTTTTGTAGAGTGCATTTACTTATTTAGTTTAATATTATTGGTTGGTAATATCACATTACATTCTCACATAATATCACTATTGTAACGAATATTTTCTCGTCAATGACGAGAGTTTGACGGGCATGATTGATACATGTGAAAATGTATAGAGTTTGGTCAAGAAATTTTTTTTCTCATTCTAATTTCAACGAGTCAGATTTAGGCAAATTTGAAAACAATTTGATAAAGAAGCGTAATTCAAAGAGATAGAGAGATCTGATAAAGCTGAGAGATGGTCATATGTGTGAGAGGTAGAAGAAAGATGGGACTCTAGTGTTGAAAAAATTTTGAGAATCAATTAAGATCGTTGAATTAATAATTTTCAAACGATATGGGATGTTTGAACGATTTTATAAGTTTAGGAATTTGAAACTCTGTATACTTTATTATATAGATGAAGGTGGAGTGAAACTGAGAGTAAAGCTGTCAAAATCCGACACGAATTAAGCTAGTTTGGGTGAGATCTTAACAGGTTTGGATGATAAACGGGTTGACACGCTAAACATGTTTAATAAACGAGTTGTGTTAGGGTGAGACTTGTCAAACCGTTTATCACACGTTTATTCGTATAAATAAAATTAATAATTATTTTTAAAAATTAGCAAAAAAAAAGAAGTAAATAAAAAAATAAAAAAAGAAGAAGTAAAGTAGTAGTTCAAAAACAAATGAGAGGAGAGGTGAGGAGTACTTAAAAAACAAAGACAAACTAATGAATTTTGTTTATGTCTCACATTGGAAAATAAGGAAAAATGGGGAGGGTTGAGTTGCCTATAAAAGGCAATGGCCTCATGCTTATTTTTTTTAAGCCTTCAAGTCTTATTTTTATGAGATTTGGCTAAAAATTTCTCTTTTTGGAGGTAAATGCAATTGGCAGTAAAAAAAAAGTGGAGAATTAAAATTTGTTAATATAATTTTTTTAAAATTAAACGAGTTGTGTCGTGTTCCCCATTTATTAAACGGATCGTGTTCATGTTGAGATTTTTTACCCGTTTATTAAACGTGTCGTGTACGAGTTTATATATTTTTTACCCGTCACCCGTTTAACCCGATACGTTTGACACCCCTAACTGAGAGTGAGAGAGAAAGAGAAGGATGCGTATATGAGATAGCTTGAGAGATAGAGATGTGTGGAAGATGAGAGTGATATAGATCGTAATAGCTCTGATATCAAATTGATGTAGATCGTAGTAGGAAAGAATTTAGGAATGAGAAAAGAAAAAGAATTTGAAAAGGAAGCAATATCAGTATTCAATAATAATCAAAATCTAATCTAAATAAAACCCTTACATGCACCACTTTATATAGAGAAACTAAAACCCTAAAATAAATAAGTAATGACAAATAAACCCTTAAAAGTTAAAAAAAATTACTTAAAAGATAAATATTAAAAGTATCCAAATTACTCTCATTATTAATCTAAAATATCTATTCAATTCCTACACGATCCGCATTAGAGAGTCTAGAGTTAGACATGAGATGAAACTCTTAGTCTAATTCTTCAACAGAAAAATAAATTTAGGGAGTAATTAGGATCGTCAAATCAATAATTCTCAAATAATCTGAATTGCAAAAAACTCAAGACAAATAATGCTAACTTCCTTATTATATAGATATAATAGTGCGATTGACTCACTTTCAGTATGAACAGTAGTATACACCCAATTATAAGTTGTCAAATTGTAATATAATACTCGTTTTAAAATCCGAGGTCAAACCCACAAGGAACTGAATATTGGAAATCAAAATGAAAACGGTGAAGCTGTTACGGTTACAAATTGAAATAAAAGAGCTTGTGGTGTGAGCTTAGAACACTTAAAATAAACTTCAATAAATCTACAGGAATTAACAGATATTGGATATGCAACAATTAAAAGATACCCTTCAGTTCGGGGATTTCATATGCATTATATTGACTAAGTATTGAAAATATCACCTTACAGCAATTAACCTTCATTTCACTAGAAAGTCAACTGGTAGATATGATGTATATTAAATCCTATCCAGCAACTGATTAGGTTAGCCAGCAGATATATCTCTATGCGACAATCAAATAACCCCAATAAACTAGAAGGCAAACCATTGCAGAAGAAACACTTGAATTAATTACTCAATCAACATATCTGTACCATGCAACAGTTAAATGACTATAATAAACCAGAAGGCAAGCCATTCAAAATGAATACTACAATTATTTAACCAGCAGGTTGATAATTTACTGATGACGAAATTCCGGTTTACCGAATCAAAAGCATTGGCTATGTCGTGACTTAAATTGTCTATAACCAACCAATCAACTATTACATAATGTCCAATCACATACATCACGGTATCATGCATGATGTACATAACTAGTAGATAGTATGGTATATAACATTAAGTACCAGTCGGTGTTCATAACCATGAGCATATTATAAATGTAAGCATCCATTAATATCGGAGGTATATATAACAAATAAACATAGTTATAACATCGACATTCCAATAACTTAAACAATATATTACATATGTTCACCCTTCACCGAAGGATAAAAGTGGACTACTCACACCCCATTGCTACAGACAAGCAACAAGTGTAAGATAGATCCATTAC